TTTGATGATTAGAAAAGGTAGACTATGGAAAGAAGGAAATTATGTTGTAACCTTAGAGAGAGAGGGTAAAATATAAATCTACTTGTAACTGCTGCTGATGTGATGGAATGGAATTATGAAGGCCAGGCTCAGGGAGATAAGCGTTTTCTTAGTTCACCGAAAGAGCGTGGGAACTACAAGAGGATGAGGCTGGCACCTCCCTGAGGAATTCACGGGCTGGAGTTTCAGTCTGGGTAGATCATTGATGTCAGGTTTAGCCCAAGGAACTCCAAGAGACAATGCAAAATCAGTTCAGCTATGTTTATTAGCTACAACCTCTAGCAAGAATCTACCCAGACTGAAACCCCAGCTCCCGAGCCAGCCAGCCCCAACACCATTGATTCCTCAGGGAGGTGCCAGCCTCATCCTCTTGTAGTTCCCACGCTCTTTCAGTGAACTAAGAAAATGCTTATCTCCCTGAGCCTGGCCTTCATAATTCCATTCCATCACAGCTAAGAAGATTGGAAACTGCTTCTTTGTAACTTTTTCTTTCAAATTTGTATTGTTTTTATTCTCTTAATTTTTTAATAAAAATTATATTTTAAAAAAATAAAGTATATTTATAAACTGACTTGATCAGTGGCTAGGTTTTCAAGACATATTAGCCAACCACATTTTAATCAGATATGTGTGTGAGCCCTCTCTTGTGGTTATTCATTGGTTCATTGTGTCATATGAACCTAGAAAATTGGATTGAGTAAATGATAGTTAAGCATATCTTGCGATACAACTAATATAGCTACTTTCTGTTCTTCCTCACGGGACTTGTAACTCACTATTGCAAGACAGGATGTGTTTTAGTGCTCTGTGATACTATAAGACCTGTCCATGACTCATTAAATTAACAGCTGCTAGAAAATGACAAGTTAATGATAGCGCAGAACTCTTCCAGTACAATTTTCTGATCTGTTTAACTTCAAACCTTTTCCTTCATATAGAAAACATTTCAGTCTCTTAACGATGATAGTTGCTTTTTCTGTCACTTTTCCTGGTCTTTATTGGTGACCTTTGTAATTATACGGTTAGTGTACCTTTTCTGCTGTCAGATGCTTTCCTAGTTAGTTAGTTAGTTAGTTAGTTAGTTATCAAGTTTATGTATGCCACCCATCTCATACAAGTGATTCTAGGTGGTGTATATAAAGGTGAAAATAAATAAATACATTTATTTATGTACTCATTCAATACATTTCCCATTTTTCCTCTAAGTGCTTGTAGTAATGAACATAATGTTCCTGCTTCCCAGTTTTGTCTCTAAATACCCTGTAATTCTTAACCTTGAAATTATCTGTTTTTCTCCAGGGAGGGTGATGGTATTGGATCAGCTGCTGCCATTGTATCAGCCTCAGATCACACAAAACCACCTTCCTCTTTATCAATTAACACTGTGCTGGAAGAGAAGGTAAGCTTTGTTTCAGAATGGAACTTGCTGGTGTATTTTACAGAAGCAGCAATTAATCCTCTTCCATTTCCTTCCCAAAGGGCTATCAGGTTCCTGTGCTTGGACAACCAGCCTTGCCTGGGCAGCTGAGTTCTCATGGGCATTCAATACCCACTATGGGTAAGTTTGAACAACTTTGATCATTCTTATCATATGCAACAGTATCTGCCATCCACATTGAAAGCAACTTCTTTTCCACATAGGTCAGCCAATGAGAACAAATCCTGTCCGCTCTGCAGCCAGTAGGTCAGGCTGGGAGCCGTAAGTATCCTTTTAGAATGTGTGTGTGTGTGTGTGTGTGTGTGTGTGTATTCTTAGGCAGTAAGTGTAGAGCATAATCATATTAAATAGCTGTTTGTATATGCATAGGAAGCATCAGTTGCTACTAAAAGGGCTCTAATGTTGTGGTAGTGAGTAACACTTTAAATCTGTCTCTGGCATAAAATGAGCAAGAAGTTGATCCATTTATTCATAGAATGCAGCTGGGTTTAAGGCTAGAAAAGTATCTCAATGATATAAACATTAGAATTTAACATTTCTGGAGGCAAAATGCTAATTTATCAGCTATAGGCAAAGCTAGAAAACTCAGACTCCTAAACGTTAATTCTAGTGTTTTAGTCTTTAAAAACTCAAATGAAGTTCTGGAAAGGCAGTTGAGGCGCAGAGAGTGCTAACTGCATACTAATGGTCTGGGAAATAAGAAGCATAACATTAGCTAATGTTTATGAGCATGGAAGAAGAGAACTGCGTTCAGCTTGCGCATGATGGGGAGGGCTCTATGTCTAAGTCTAGAGAGCACTGACAGAGGGAGAGCAGAACAGGCTAGTCTGTGTTTGAGCTGTAAGACAGAGTAGGCCGTGACTGCAGAAGAGTGCTCTCTCCGTTTCACGTTCCTCCTCTCTTGCGAACAAGAGACAAGTATGACACTCAGTGACAACATGTTTTTGGGTTTCTTTAGAAGTTCAAACCGAGGACGCCCGCATAGTGACCGTACACAAAGGACTCAGGCCCCAACACTGCCAGCCTCAACACCAGTCTTTGTGCCCGTGCCTCCACCTCCCCTGTATCCTCCTCCTCCCCACGCACTTCCTCTTCCACCGGGGGTACCTCCACCACAGTTTCCTCCTCAGTTTCCACCTGGTCAGCCTCCACCAGCTGGGTACACTGTCCCCCCTCCGGGATACCCCCCGGCTCCAGCAAACATATCAACACCATGGGTACCAACACCAGTACCAACGGCTCATTCAAATGCCATCCCAACGACACAAGCTCCTCCTTTATCTAGGGAGGAGTTTTACAGAGAACAACGGAGACTTAAAGAGGAGTAAGTATTTGGCTCTGGATGAAGTTCCGTTATATTTCATTCTTCTGTTTCAGTAGACTGTTTGGCTGCAGCTGCGCTAAAAATGCGCATGCCGTAAGCAAACATGACATATAACGTGAGATTTCAGATGTTGGTTTTCACTACCAGCCTTCAGATCTAAAACCCAGAAACTTGTAATTCTAATAAAATACTATGAAACTTCTCTCAAAAGACTATGATTCGCATTTTAGTAATATGTGGCATGCAGTCCTTGTTTGAGTTAGTACTCTTAGTGCCTGCTTTATCAGTACAGAATTGCATTGCAGCACAATGTTTTTCTTATTTTAACAGGGAAAAGAAAAAGTCAAAGCTTGATGAGTTTACAAATGATTTTGCTAAAGAACTGATGGAATATAAAAAAATTCAGAAGGAACGCAGGCGTTCTTATTCCCGGTAATTTTTTAAACGTGTCTATCAAAATTTGTTTATTTAGTGCAACTGCTTTTATGCCACTTCAACTTAAAAAAACGAACAAAAACAAAGCAGGTTATGGAAGTAGCTTATAATAAACCATATAATACACATAATATTATTAACATCATAATATAAATTACAGTGACATCATTAGCAGCACTCCCCTACATCCTAGATACAAATATCCTCCCCATCCCATCTCAATCCCCAAATGTCACGTTTTCTTCTACAACATTAACCCGGTGAGCAGAGATCTTATTCTTTGCAGGAGCCAATTCCTCAGAAAGGAACTCCAGCTGCTGCTGCTGCTGCTGCTGCTTCCGAGCCCCCTCCCCTTGCATGCCACAGGAGGGCAAGGGGACTGAAAGACCAGCTGAAAGGAGCAGCAGAGCACCAGCTTTGCATTAAGAAGAGGGGTGGGCAGCCTTTTCCAGCTGGTCTCCTGACTGGAAGCTGTGGAGGGTTAGGCTTTGGGTAGGGCTGACTGTTTTTACTGTGGGGGGATCAGAAGTGGCTGAATGAAGCAAGCACCAAGACCTTCAAAGGCTTAAGGAGCCGTTTTGTATCTTGTACCTCCATTCCCTTGTGAACATGAAAGATTTGCATTAAAAACAGCTCTTTAAGGGGTGTAATGGATGCTTTCAATCTTTGCAGGGCGTAAGGCATCCATTTAATTCCTTAAGTGCCCTGCTAAAATGGTCTGAACATTTCTGCCCTGCCCAGAGTGAGATGCTCGGGGGGTACATGTGACCATAGAGCTGGGGTTGCCCATCCCTGGTCATTGGTATCTCTAGCTCTTGCCTTTTCAGAGTCACCATGTGGATCAGGGGGCTCAAAATGGACCACGTGCCACCCTGTAGATCATTTTTGCACAGCACAGCATCAACAGCTTGCTGATCTCTGCCAGGTGCTACGGATCCTCCCTCAGGCTGGGGAAACGGGCTCCACACCCAGGTGGACAGGCCAAGGAGTGGCTGCATTGACTTGGGTGCTTGGGCTGGGGCATCTCTGCTGGTAATGAGGAACAGTCACTCTGCTGGTGGGGGGGGACAGGCATCACCATATGCCCACCTCCCCGTCTTCCTAGCCCTTCCGCCTTCTCCAGCGGACAACTGGGCAGACGAGGCAAGGCCAGTGTCACTCAGGCCTCTGTGTGCTCCACAGCCATTTCTTTGGGAGCAGCTGCCTTGGGAGAGGAGGCAGGAAGCAGTGGTGGGGAAGCAAGCCGTAGAAGCAGGGTGCTGTTCTTGTCCCAAGAACAAGGATGAGCTCCTGGCGGGGCCTCTGCTTGCTGCCGCTTGTGGCCAGGCAAAAGCGCTGCTCCATTCTCTGGCCAACTCTCCCTCCAGGGTTCTCCTCGCCATGCCCGGGGGTTGCATCTAGCACAACGCTGGCCTGCCCCCTTCCCTGGCTCTGGCCATCTCCACCAACCAGGAATCCCCAAGGCTGTTCCTGCTTTCTCCCCCAAGCAGGCCCCTTTCTAGCACAGCCCTTGGAGGTAGGTGAGGCTTGGCTTAACCCCCAAATTCCAATGCAGGGAAACACCAAATGGTGATGGCTTATTTTCCATGGGACAGAAAGTATATATGTAATCAAATTTTAGCCTGCTTTCTATTAAAAGTAATCTGAAATAGAGCTCAATTTGCAGGGATCATAACCTCTTATCAGAGGATGACCCTTGCTAAATTTAAGACAATGTATTTTTTTCCTTTAAAGCAAAGTACCAATATCATTTCTTAAGAAGTACCGCTCATTTGAGTGGTCACATGACCAAACTGCCTTTGGTCCTGTCAAACATTTTTGACCATTTCTCTGGCCTGCTTGCATTGGCCTAAGGAACTGAAGCAGCCGTTGTCTGTCTTCCCGACATGCAATGAGGCGGCTTGAAATTCCAGCCTTGCAGGCAACACAGCTCTAGAATGTTCCATAAAGGTTCAGTACAGAGAGTAGGAAACCAGTTTGTACAATTGCACAGGTGACCTCTCAAAGAACAATCCTGGACACACTTCAAGATTGCAAGCAAAACATTTGTTAATTACCTAACTGATACCCAACCACAATCTGGGGAACTGCTGGAGTAGACATTTGATGAACTCTTTCTGAAAATTTTAAAATCCTTTCTAAAAGCCGGAAAAGTCCTACTGGTCTCCTCAAGGTATTATTAACCTGATTTTTTTAATTGTATACAGTGACTGCCAGAGTATTTTTTAAAAATATTACAGGAATTCTCTTGACTCTGCAATGCAAGGTAAATTTTACAGAAGTCCAGACACTACAATTAAACCATTTCTTTTCATTGTGTTCCAGGTCCAAATCACCATATAGTGCATCTTCCTATTCAAGAAGTTCTTACACATATTCAAAGTCAAGATCTGGCTCATCCCGCTCTCGATCTTACTCTCGGTCATTCAGCCGCTCCCATTCTCGTTCCTACTCAAGGTCACCCCCGTACGCCCGGAGGGGCAGAGGCAAGAGCCGTAATTACCGCTCCAGGTCAAGATCGCATGGATATCATAGATCAAGGTCTAGGTCACCCCCCTACAGAAGGTATCATTCTCGGTCAAGATCTCCAGCATATAGAGGCCAGTCCCCAAATAAGCGCCCTATTCCTCAGGGAGAAGGGGAACGGGAGTATTTTGGTCGATACCGAGAAATCCCAGTTTATGACATGAAAGCATATTATGGGAGATCTGTGGATATGAGAGACCCCTTTGAGAAAGAGAGATACCGTGATTGGGGAGAGACTTACAGAGAATGGTATGAAAAATATGTGAAGGGCTTTCCAGTTGGAGCCCAACCCAGACCTTTGCTTAACAGAGAAAACTTCTCCCCAGAACGATTTGGCCCTCCTGGACCGAGAAGAGAGAATTCCCCATACATTCGGGGTCGCAGAGATGATTATCCTGGAGGGCTAGGGCATCGAAACCGAAATCTAGGGGGTGGCTACTCTGAAAAGCTGCCAAGTAGAGAAGGCCACAGTATAAAAGACATGACAAAACTGAAGGACAAAGAAATTGACAATCCTCCAGGGGATGCAAAAGGGAATAGACATAAAAAACACCGGAAGAGAAGGAAGGGAGAAGAAGGTGAAGGTTTTCCTAGCACTGACTTGTTGGAAGGCTCACGAAAGCCTGCTGCTGGCGAAGAGGGCAGACCTGACCCCCTCTTTGTACCCCCGAGCAGGGATGATGCCACTCCTGTCCGGGACGAACCGATGGAAGCTGATTCGGTTGCCTTTAAACCCGTCTCTGACAAGGAGAGGAAAGAGAAGCCGAAGGGAAGAGTGGAAAAGACAAAGCAAAAAACAGCAGAAGGGGCTGCTATCACCAAGAAAGAGATGCAAGTCAAACCAGCTAAAGTAGCACCTCAGGAGAAGGCAGAAGCTGATCGTGAAAAATCCCCACGGGCTGACCCTCCTGCCAAAAAAGTGAAGGAAGAATTGCCAAAGGTTGATGGCCCCAAACCATCCTCTCAGAAGGATGAAAAACCTCCGAGTGTACCCCGTAAAGTCCATCCCCGAGGTGCAAAAGAGCATCTGGAGGCCAGGTCCGCCAAAGAGGAGAAGGCCAAGAAGGAACATCCCAAGGAAATCAAACAGGAGAAGCCGTCCAGCAAGGAGGAAAAATCCAAGAAGCCCATTGACAAAACCAAACCAGCAGATGCCAAACCTGAAAAAAGGAAGAGAAAAGTGGAGGACAAAGTTGATAAGGAGCCCGAAACTACATTGCTAAAAGCTTCCAAGCAAGAAGTCACAGAATTGAAACCATTGCCAAAGGGGAAAAATGAGCCAGAAACAGAGAAAACAGAGAAGACCCCTGAGAAAGACAAAACCAATTTACCAGTTGTTCCTGCAAAGAAGATTAAGCTGAACCGAGAAACTGGCAAAAAGATTGCAAGTGCTGACAATGTCCCTCCGGTGAAAGAACCATCAGCTGAGAAGCCTGAGCCAGCGGGGAGCAAAGTGAAGCAAGAGAAAGCCAAAGGGAAACTGAGGAGAAAAGTGGCAGCAGCTGACGGATCTGGCTCAACACTGGTTGATTATACCAGGTACTGTGATTTATGAGGAAGGCAATTGCAGTTCCTGCCCATGACCTTTTGAACCCGTCACCAACCTTTGTGTTAAGCTCTCTTAAATCATTTTGCTATTAGTTCTGAATTCTTCTGATGGGGCTGAATCCCTTCTCTGGCAGACCCATTTAACTCTGATACCAATTAGTTGCCCTTTCCTCACAATCTAGGTAGTCCTCGACTTACGGCCACAATTGGGAGTGGAACCTCTGTTGCTAAGTGATGTGGTTATGTGAGTCATGCCTGATTTTACTTCCTTTTTTGCCACAGTCATTAAGTGAATCACACAGTCATTAAGCGAATCTGGCTTCCCCCATTGACTTTGCTTGTCAAAAGCCCCCTGAGAAGGTCGCAAATAGCAGTGACATGATCCCAGGACACTGCAACCATCATAAATACGTGCCGGTTGCCAAGCACCTGAATTTTGATCACGTGACTATACGAACGCTGCAATGGTCATAAGTGCAAGGACCAGTCATAAGTCCTTTTTTTCAGTGCTGTCATAACTTTGAACGGTCATTAAACAAATGGTCATAAGTCGAGGACTACTTGTACTCCAAAGATGATCGTGGCCTTTTCCTTAACAACTCTCTGCCTTTTTTTTTTTTTTTTTTCTTGTCAGCATGTTTGTTCTGGAGGTATCTTTCTCTTGTATTCCTGACCAAAAAAAAGGAATGTGAATTGTATTGGATGATCCGACTTACTCTGGAGCCTGGAATTCTAACTGACATTGTTTTGCTCAGAGAGAATCTTAAGATGCAGGCTTTTAAGGTTAATTTAGCAAGTCGCATTCTGCTTATCTAGAGTTGGAACACTTGAAGATGAAATCAGGCCATTCTTTCTAAAGCTTATTCTATGAAACAAATTAAAGAATCTGTGGTAGTTACCAGGACATTTCCTTATGTCAGGGCCATTAGGCAAATGCCTTTCTGGTGAGACAGTGAAAATCATATTGGCACTGCAAAATTAGGAATTAAAATTCTGCCACTTTGATATCCCCCATAACAAACATTTCTTGGTTCTTGCATCCTCAGTACAAGCTCTGCTGGAGGCAGTCCAGTGAGAAAGCCAGAAGATAAGCTAGACACGAAGCGCACCGTCATCAAGACTATGGAAGAGTACAACAATGACATTACTGCCCCCGCTGAAGATGTCATCATCATGATCCAGGTTCCCCAGTCAAAGTGGGATAAGGATGATTTTGATTCTGAAGAAGAAGAAGAGAGTGTTAAATCTGCACAAGTTCCTTCTGCCATTGGGAAGCCAACTAGCGTCATAAAGAGTGTCAGTACAAAGCTACCCAATCCCATCAAACACAGTGAGAAGGATCCTGAGCCATTGGAGAGAAATCTGAGAGCCACAAAAGAACCTGCCCGTGAAACTTCCCAGCCTGACCCCAAAACCTCCAAAACTGTGACATCAAATGAGAAAGGGAAGGCCAAAGACAGGGACCATGCTGCATCTGACAGAGAGTCTTCTGAGAAAAGGAAGAGTGGGGTTCAACCAGAGAAGGAGCGTTCTGAGCGTGTGGCAGAGCAAGGAAACGTAAAGAGTGGATCTTCTCACTCCTCCAGGGATAGCAGATCTTCAGACAAACATGATTCTGCCCATGGGTCCTGTGCAAAGGACTTTACTCCTAACCGAGACAAAAAGTCAGACTGTGACAACAGCAGGGACTATTCCAGTTCCAAACGAAGAGATGAAAGGAGTGGGCTCGCACGAAAGAAAGTGTCACCTTCACGTACCCGGGAACCAGCCACCTCTGCATCGAAGAGTAAGACCAGGGATGAGCGAGCAGAGCAGCCCAAGAAAGAAGGCTGGGACTCCAAGCGGAGCAGTTACAGCCCTCCAAGGGACCGAAGGCAGAACGACCAAAAAAACGCCTACGATTCCAGGCGTTCAGCAGAACAGCCAAAGTCCCAAGAGAGGGGCTCAGGCAGAGAGAGAGAGAAGCGCCCATCATCTGAGGCCTGGAGCAGCAAAGAGAGGGTGACATGTGGAAACAAATCTGCATTCAGGCGGTGCTCTCCAGAAGCAAAGGAACAAGGGGCTCCGCAGAACGACAAGAATGCCATCAAGCCAAAGCCTCAGCTGAGCCACACCTCCCGGCTCTCTTCTGACCCAGCAAGAGAAACGGACGAGGCAGCTTTTGTCCCAGACTACAACGAAAGTGACAGTGACAGCAACGGTTCAGCAAAACAGGACAGCTCCCCAGGGAAAAAACCCAGAGAGGGGAAGGACAAACCGAAAGAGGCCGTGGTAGCCGCACTGGCCCCCCAGCCGGGCCGCAGCCGGAGCCAGAGCCCCAGCAGCCCCAGCCCCAGCCCCTCGGAGAGCCAGGGCCGGAGCCGCAGCAGCAGCGCCAGCTCTGCAGACAGCCAGGACAGCAAGAAGAAGAGGAAGAAGAAGGACAAGAAGAAGCACAAGAAGCACAAGAAGCACAAGAAGCACAAGAAACACCCCGGCACCGAGTCAGAAGCCGAGAAGAGCCAGAAACATAAACACAAGAAAAAGAAGTCGAAGAAGAGCAAGGAGAAGGAGAAGGAGAACCCCAAAGCAAAACCTGTCCCGGTCTAGGGGGCAGACGGACTGAGTCACCGGGACGACATTCTGTCCTAATGTAAAGATGCGAGAGCCTTGTACATAATGCTACGACGGGCCCCGTGCTGCACTTACCGAATTGCTGCTTGATTTGATTTTTACATCAGAGCTTTATAAAGTGAACATTTTGTACAGACTTGTGAGTTGTGACCATGTAATATGAGAGAAGGAGGGTGGGTAAGTTTTCTTTTTATTTGGGGGGCATTTTATTTTTATCCACCATTACGTTAGTTTGGGTGGAGTTTACTGTACTGTGAAAAATTTCACACTTTTTTTTAATTGCCTGTCAGGATAAATAAAAGGGCTGGTATCGGTTCAAAATATCAGCTTGCAGGATTCGTTACAGCCCTGTTCTGTTACTTTTGGATGATAAATAAAAAAAATTCATTGAATCTTAATCAATGTGGTAGTTTTACAGCTCCAGTGGCAAGAAAGGAAATGGATAAGGAACATGGCATAAATTCTGCACAATGGGAGATTAACAAGCTTTGTTATACCGAAAGCTGGTAGCTCAACACAGGAAAGCTAGAAGGGAAGCAGCTCCAGTGTGTGTCCTTGTCACCATCCACCAGGGAGTTTGGGTTTTTTCCACAATACAAGAGGGTGGTTTTCTCCCAGTAGAATTACAGGGAAGCATTAGTGTAGTGTATTCCACATTAAACAGGATGGTGCAGTTACATGCCAAAAGGGATGATGGAAAGCTAGGTGGCCTTCCAGAGTTTCAATAAAGGCAAACATCCTCAGGCTGCAGGACATAAAATCCTCAGATTGCAACAATTGATTGAACAAAGTCATAGATGCCACCCTGCTGTAGATACCTTCAGAGGAGCGCAAAGCATCCTGTTGTAGCAGGTTTTTGAGCTCTGACATCTAGATCTAGCGATAGACTCTTCTCACTTTGAGGAGTCCACTGGCCAAATACTGGAAGTTAGAATGGTTACAGGGAAATGACATTGCTCCATCTCGTTCCTGTTCAGTAGCAAACCGCAGAGTAAGGCTTGGGATACACTAAGCTAATTTTCCTGAAGAGTTGGGTTGTCTCCACCAAAGTAGTCTTAACCATAAATACTGATACTGCTCACTACAATCACCTTGGGACTTCCTGCATCCTGCCACAGCATATAGACATACAGTGGGGCAAAAAAGTATTTAGTCAGCCACCAATTGTGCAAGTTCTC